AACAACAGGAACAGTCACCCCAACAAGAGCAATTGCTTCAGCAGATCCAGCTGCAGCAACAGCAAATGTTGTTGCTAATGCAGCAACAACAGCAACAGCAAGCACCAGAACGACAAGTCGTCCAAACAGCTCAAATGGAGCTGCAGCACTCCGAGCCAGTTCCGACGCATCCGAGTCCCGAGCGACCGGAGCCTCTGGAGAGACGGCCATTGGACCAGTGGTCCCCTGATGGACTGTCATCCGAAAATGGGGACGAAGCTGACGAGGAAGCTGACCAAAGGCTGGAAAGTCGCACACAGGGCATTTTGGTGTCTGTGAGACATAGTGGTCCCTGGAACAATCATGGTTACGTGGCCTGGCCTGGGATGACAAGATGCCATGACCATTTCTTCTACAAACGCCCGAGATGCCAAGTTGCCGTTTGCTTAAAGGTTTCAAACCACTCTTACAAGGGTTAGAAAGGTGGAACACTTCTTGAACACTCCTTCTGTGAGGCCCAAAGTCAAGGCCAGGCCTGCCGGCGCTGAACGATCGTTCAAGTGAAATCATCCAGAAGCGAAAGACTTGACGAAACGCAGAGTGGATGAGACCAACAACATGAGAGAGGGAGTCTAGCGGTCTAGCAAAATGAGGCCTTCTGTTTACTCGTGTTCACAGGGTGAAAAACTGAATCCCAGTTTGTGAGGCTCATGTTTCCTCTAATGCTAACATGACCTTGCTACAACACGTTGATGTATTGGTTGGCAAAACTGTTCACTCCTTGAGCACGACCTGCCTAGAATTTAGGCTCCTGGGAAGGCTAATTCGTTCCTCGGCCAGCAACCAGTGAGGAGCTGTACATGCCATCAGAGCCATCAGGGTTTGACTGTGGGGCTTTCGAAGATTCGTTGATTTGTTTTCGTATCCAAGGCTAATTCCTTCTGGGACAGCATCAAAGGGATCTGCCAAGCAGGTTTCCAAGCTCCTTGGGCAAACACCCAGACTCACACCGAAAGCTTCGAAGAATCGACAGACCTAGGCGAAGAAGCTAGAATCTCTCTGTTCCAATGAGGCCTTCGGCACAGAACCTACGGCTTGCACAACCACTGCCAGTGGGACCACAAGATCCTGCTGAAACGAAAGGGAGGACGGCCAATGGGAGCCTACCTCGTAGGCAGACGCGGTGAACTTTGATTTGGGTAGCCCTACTCAACTTCAATGCAGCATTGCACGACCACATGAAGATACATCCAGCCAGATCATGCGTCTACGCCTCTGCTGGAGAATGCAGGAATGTGTTGGGTCATTGTATTGTAGACATTACGTAACGATTGTAAAAACAAACACGAAGCGATGCTTGAGAAGAGTCATTCAATCTATGTGTTTTGGACGCTCCAAGTTGTGGCATTGTTGTTTCGCAGTACCATGGAAGAACTTCTTGCCAAAGTTCCCAACAATGAAGAAGGCGGGATACAGACATTGAAACTTGGGCAAAGGGATTGGTTGTTGCAAGTTCCTGGCAGGTGAGCGCACCTCTTTGGGAAGTGCCCTGACTGCAACTCTCATGCTGCTTTGCATCTCCACGCTTTTCATGTTGTCAATGTGAAAGCAAGATGATCAGTGGCAAAGATGGTCAAAACACTTGTTTTTTTGGACAGCATGCTGTAAAAGACTTGTGTTCTTGACTTCGTTCGACGCGTTTGATCGCCTCTACAGCACACCCTGAAACTGGGTGCAGCTTCTATATTCCAAGTAGTAGGTTTACAGTCATGTTCTGATCAGCAGGATAATAAGTTGTTTGCAGTACCTTGGTTTGCGAGGCTTACAACATCCCGACACGTGCTCTCCATGCCTCTTCTGGTTTAAGGGCACCTTGGCGGATTGTTTTTGTTTTTTACTTTTAACACCATTTTATTCGTTCTTTTGGCACCATCGGACCAATACATCAAAGTTTTTTGCCTTTTTCACAAACAAGTGCATGCCTGTGATACTTCAGATTGATCAGTCCTGTGGGATTTGTGTTTGTGGGTCAAGAAACCCTGCTGAAACGTGGAACAGGTAGACACCAAAGACCCACATGGGCAGATGAAGGTCCACCAGGAAAATTCAGAGGGCTCCGGCCTGGTATGCCCGGTGCAGTGCTTTCAACGGGTGGAGGGACCCAGAGCGAAAGAAAGCCGTGTGGCTGGGCGGAGCTGGGCGTTCTCGAACGGCCCAGGAATACCATGAACATGTGGAGGAGAGGTAAAGGAAAGTAGAAAGAAACAAGGTACAGCTAGCTAGAAAACCACACATCACGGAGCACATTACAACAGTGAAAACCGCATGGCGTTATTACACATCGTGATGACAAACCACAACTCCTTCCTTTTTTGTCAATGTGAGGACAGGCAAAATCACATCGGAGAAGCGAACGAACAAAAGCCTTCTTGACAAATTTTTCCAGTGTCAACATTTTGGTTTCACCTCTATGCCCTATGCCAGCTCTATGCCCTGCAAGATTGCTGAGCAACAACCCTGCAACACACAGTGAGCCCACAGTGAGCCTTTCCTTTGACCAACCTGAGAGTGTGCTGGATGGTCTCGTTCAGCAACATCTGAAGCCAGTATCTACAAGGCTTCTTTACAGCAAAAGTGCTCCCATATAGTTATATATCGGCTATATCATTATAAGTTCCACGTTGTCCGATTGTTCTTGGCTCTCTCAACAAGTACTCAGTATTCTTTTTTTGTTTATGGCCGTGAAGAGTACCTGAAGCTGAGCAGCTAGGCCACCACAAAAGAATAGATGCAGCCTGTCTCACAAAGACCTTTGAAAGTCTGTGCTCAGGCAAATGTGGCAAAGGCGTTCAGTGCGATTATTGCCATTTCCGACATCCAGGACCAGTCCAGAAGTTGACCGTTCTGCTAGCCACCTTTTTTGTTCGAAAGGCCTATAAATCCGCCTGGTGACATGGCAAGAAAGCTCAAGTTAATCTATTTTTCTGACATCAAATAGTAATCAACAAGGCCAAAGACTAGTCGGCTGCGCCGGAGCCTGACGCTTGCGGATGTTTAAAATGCCACAAGTCGAAGTCAAGGGGTCGCAGTCCGGTGAGAAACCAATTCGGTGGATATGCTGAGCAGTCCCATTAAAATGCAGGATATTGCAGGATTGTTTTTGTTAAGCCCACAAAGGAGAAAACATTTTAATTTTTCTCGAAGAACGAACGATCGTTCTTTCTCCCTTGCCCTGTGGGTGCAATGCTTCGCTGAAGAATGCCAGGACAGAAAAACAAGAGAATTCGTCCATCGAAGCACACTCGCTTGCACATGCGAGCAGTTGGGTCGAAGGCGATGAATATGTGTCCATTTCTTTCTTTTATCCGCAAGATTTGCACTGATTTGTAAATATTTGTAAGTAGGTTGGAGGCCATCGCTATGAAGATTGTTTGTGTAATTTGTACATTTTGTTGTCGAAGACTTCCATTGAGTGCCAGTCGCTTGAGGCTGATGAAGAAGACGAAGACTAGTGACTTATCTTGAAAACGAAGACAACGTCAAGGAGCGAAGGCTTTCAGGTTTGGTACCTTTGGCGCATGTGTGAGCGTAGGAGCTTTGGATGGCTCACAGTATTCTGCATTCATTTCTTAAAGAGAGTGTTGCCGGGTAGAAAAGACATCGGCTAATTTTGAGAGCCAGCAACATTTGTTTATATTTGGTTAAAGCAACATTTGGGTTCAAAAGTTCAAAAGTTCAAACCATGCTTGACACAGATCCAAGCATCATGCTTCGCCGTTTTTTCTCCACACCGACCTTTGAACAGCCTGGCGCGAATACCCATCCCGAGGCTGTTGGAGCGGCCTTTTTCGGGTGGTCCGTCTGTTTCACTCGACTGCTGTCAACGGCACCCGCACCCGATGGTTGGGCACGGGAGTGCCCGAAAGACAAGTCGTCCGAGATGCTATCATCCACATCCGGGCAATTGCCGCTATATATATATATATTTCAAGCGTCATGGTTTTCATGTTTTTCTGGTTTTGGTTCCTATGTGTTTTCTCATGATGTTCCACGCAACCGACGTCTAAAAGATCTAAAAGATGTTTTTTGTCGTGGTGCGGGCCCTAGCCTCAGTGATTTCTGGGCTCGCGGAAGTTCGTTGGTGCAGTCATAGGCGAAGTGGCAAGATGCATCTGTTTTGAAAAGCCCTGCCTTGGTGATTCCACAAGCCGTTCTAACGCAAGATAGGTCGTTGGTGGCGAGTGTCAGCAGGTGCACTGTCAGCGAGTGTAGGAAAAACTCCCAGACGCACGTTTGATGCGTGTGCCTTTGCAGCACATGATCTCAGCTCCAAAATGTACCGTGGGGGTCAGGGTGTTGCTTAAGTGTGTTAGGCCACTCTGAAGCGAAACTGCAGGCAGTATGGATCTCTTTGCGGGGCGAATCTGCACCCCAAAAAAGCATTACGTTGAACAATATGAGGGAAAAACCTCCGGTTTCAGGAGTCATCTGGTAACTTTGCAAGGTTGATTTCACGGCCCCTCGTACAACCAGAATGTACACTTGGCACACGCGTTTCTATGCCCACAAACAAATCACAGTCCAAGGCAAATAAAGACCTTTGTGCAGGGTGATTGTGATGATTGCAGCAAAGTATTGAGTGAACTGTGTTTCGTTACCATTTCATGAATTGAGAGGCTTGTGCCATTGACACAAGCAATTGGATTGATTAACTTTCTTTCCTGGCAAGGAACGTCAGTTATATCTTCTTCTTTTTTTTTTCACGAATCCATTTGAACTACTGCAGGCTGCAGAGACATTCAGCGCATTTCTCAATGTGCTGCCAGAGGGTATCTACCACAGGCACCGCCTTTAACAGACTAGGCAAACGAACAGTTGTCTTGTCAAACACCTCCAGGTCCGCATTGACTTGACCTCTTGACTTTCTCTTTGCTGCGCAAGTCCCTTGTCACACTTCCACACACACGCACACCCTGTCAATCCTTTTCCTAAGTCGCTCTGTCTGCATGTGGAGGTTCACGATGGACACCAAGAACTTCACACATGCCATGCGTGCCTGGGCATGTCTGGCAGAATTCCTGCTTTGGTGTTGATAGCCGAAGACGAACCAGCCAAGCTTCTTCAGAGGTTCTGTGTTTGTATTCGCTCGAATACTGTCGCCTTTGAGCCGACACCGAGGCCTATTTAAGGGCGTGCCTGTGTGGACGCCCATCAACCGTCCAGCAGATACTCACCTTTCCAGAGAAAGGTACTTGCTGGAGAGCCAGTGGAAGAGGAACGCTCCTCGAGGTGTTCTTTTTCGTGCATCTTCCATTTACATCCTCTGGTTTCAACATTTGTTGACTCCCTTCAACGGGCAACAAAACGGCTTTCCACAAGTGCAGGTTCAAGAACTCACCAAGCATCTCTTACTGCAACAGAAGCCACAGACTTACCCAGCTGGACTGGAATTGACGCTTCTTCAGCGTTATTCTCTGGATTGAACATCCTCACGGATGATACGGACGGCCGAAAAGCCCGATGGCTTTGGTTTTACATGCCTTTGCCCGCACCAAACAATGCTTTGGTTTTGGATTCTTGCTCAGCAAAGGTTTTTGTCCGCTCTTCTCCAGTTTTGCTCGAGAAACAGCGTGGTAGATCAACTCCACTTCCTTCAGGATCCGACCTAAGAGGACACGCGAACCCAACGACAGTTGTTTGCAGCAAACGAGTCTTCCAGCAATGGCGACGATTGAAGCATGGTACATGGCAGCTTGGCCAGCTTGGCAAGCTTTGCCGCAGATTTCATTGAGGCCTCAGTCACTTACAGTGGTTTCAGAGGTTCGATGGCACTGGCAGGGGTCCACAACTAAACCCTTTTTTGGGGTCTGTGCCTCATCCACTCTCAATCCACCAAATAGGGAGTCTACCCATGGGGGGCCAGGCGGGCTCAAAATACACACGTCTCCAACAACTTACTCGTGATGGCCTCCAACCTAATAGCAATGGCCTCCAACCTACTAGCGATGGCCTCCAACCGACTAGCAATGCCTTCAACCTACTAGCAATGGCCTCTATCCTAATAGCAATGACCTCCAACCTACTAGCAATGGTCTCTATCCTAATAGCGATGGCGTTCAATCTACTAGTGATGGCCTCCGACCTAATAGCAATGGCCTCCAATCTACTAAGGATGGCCTCCAAGCTAGTAGCAATGACCTCTAACCAAATGGCGATGGCCTCCAAAACGATAGCAATGGCCTCCAACCAAATAGTGAGCGCCTCCAACCTACTAGCGATGGCCTCCAACCTAATAGCAATGACCTCCAACCTACTAGTTTTGGCCTCCAACCTAATAGCAATGGCCTCCAACCAACCAGGGATGGCGTCCAACCTAATAGCGATGGCCTCCAACCTAATAGCGATGGCCTTCAATGTACAACCAATGGCCTGCAACCCAATAGCAATGACCTCCAACCTACTAGCGATTGCCTCCAACCTAATAGCAATGACCTCCAATCTAATAGCAATGGCCTCCAAGCTAGTAGCGACGGCCTCCAATCTACTAGTCAACCTAATAGCGATGGCCTCCAAGCTACTAGCGATAGCCGGCAACCTAATAGAACATCCTCCAACCTACTAGCAATGGCCTCCAACCTACTAGTGATACTAGTTACGGCCTCCAACCTACTAGCCATGGCGTTCAATCTACTAGTGATGGCCTCCATCCCAATAGCAATGACCTTCAACCTACTAGCAATGGAACCTACTAGCAATGGCGTCTAACCTAATAGCAATGGACTCCAATCTACTAGTGATGGCCTCCAAGCTAGTAGCAATGACCTGCAACCAAATGGGATGGCCTCCAAAACAATAGCAACGGCCTCCAACCTACTAGCGATGTGCTCCAAACTAATAGCAATGGCCTCCAACCTAATAGAGATGGCTTCCAATCTACTAGTTTTGGCCTCCAACCTAAGAGCAATGAGATCCAACCTACTGGCGATTGCCTCCAACCAAATAGCAATGACCTCCAACCTACTAGCGATGGCATCCAAGCTCCTAGCAATGACCTCCAACCTACTAGAGGTCCCCTCTAACAAAATAGGGACGGCCTCCAACCTACAAGCCATGGCCTCCAACCTAATAGCCATGCCCTCTAATGTACTAATGATGGCCTCCAACCTCATAGCAATGGCCTCCAACCTACTAGCCATGGCATCCAAGCTAATAGCAATGTTTGCAACCTAATAGCGATGCCTTCCAAGCTACAAATGATGGCCTCCAACCTAATAGCAATGGCCTCCAATCTAACAGCAATGGCCTCCAACCTAATGGGGATGGCCTCCAACCTAATAGCGATGGCCTCGAATCTACAACCAATGGCCTCCAACCTAATAGCAATGGCCTCCGAGCTACTAGCGATGGCCTCCAACCTAGTCCTTTTCGATTCTTCCAACGGTCACCTCCCAGGCCAATGCGGTGGTCGATCAGACGGCCGAGAACCGGACGGAGCCGAATCATCCGGTGCTGCGGACGGATCGCTCTGGGGGAAACCGGAGGGGGCCATGACCGGAGCGGTCTGGGAGGATTTAGAACTGTACTGAAAGCAGGTGACGATCTTGTTCATCACACTAAAACACGTCATTTTGCAGTGAAGTGTCTCTCCTCATTTTCTTTTATGTGTTTGCCATCGTTCTGACAGGTGACGATCTCCGACCTACGTGATCTTGGCGTCATCCACTGGCATATTCCTCCAGTTGGCGACTACCCGGCCAAGGCAGTTCCTTGGGAACCGAAGGATGGCATTCAGGACCTTGGTGACTTCTTTCACGCCGCTTTGCCATGCTTTAAGAAGGTGGCTGTTCGGATCTTGTGTTTGAACAGCCAATTCTTCATCCAGGACAAGCAACTGGCAGCCATCCGAGAGTCTCGTGGGTACAACTATGCCGACATCATCACTTGCTCAGAGGAGTGGGGTTCTGTAGGTCGGAAGCGCCTCACAATGATCACTTCTCATGGTTTTCATCTGAACTTCATGTTTTTCTGGTGCCAGTCAACGCCTAACAGGAGTGCCTCCCGGACTACCACAACAAGCTGAAAGCATTCTTCGAAGAGCACATCCATTCGGATGAGGCGGAAGTCTGTACAGATTAGCCAAAGGGTCAGGAATTCTTGTATGAGTATGAGTCAAGGGGGTTGCATTTTATTATTAGTGGACCCCGCAACCAAAGGCTTTTGTTGGTCGATTTTCCTCTTCCAGGGGGGTGTTGAATGTTGGTTGGGGGGTTTCCCTATTCTAATCGCGATGTTTCCCTATTCTAATACAACCCCATCTTGTCAGAGGAACTCCCATCGCCTCGACGTATCGACGGTATCGACGCAGTGTTCGCTGTATCGACGCAGCCCGTGAACACGAGAACGGTCCATGGGAAAGCCTGGAACGGTGAGCGTTTGACAGGTTCGTAAGCTGGTCCACGGATCATTTTCGGCTCCGGTTCGGTCATTTTACTTTGGCAGGAAGTCAGATACATCCTCAAGGGCAGTGGCTACTTTGATGTGCGGGATCTGAAGGAGCAGCCTATTCCGCCTAAAGGAAAGTCCTATTCTCTTGTCACCGAAGAAGCAACGTGGCATTTCAGTTGATGTCACAGACGTTGGTGCAGACAACATCTTTCTTTCTGTTCGCTTTTCACTTTTTGTCATGCGCAGGATCGTTGGATTCGGATCAGACTAAGCGCGGGTGATCTCATTGTGCTACCAGAGGGTATCTACCACAGGCACCGCCTTTCGCAGACTAGGCAAATGAACAGTTGTCTTGTCGAACACCTCTAGATCCGCATTGACTTGACCTCCTCACTTTTTCTTTGCTGCACAAGTCTCACACTTCCTCACACATGCACACCCTGTCAAGCCTTTTTCTAAGTCGCTCTGTCTCAGTTTTGCATGTGGAGGTTCACGATGGACACGAAGAACTTCACACATGCCATGCGTGCCTGGGCGTGTCTGGCAGAATTCCTGCTTTGGTATTGATAGCCGAAGACGAACCAGCCAAGCTTCTTCAGAGGTTCTGTGTTTGTATTCGCTCGAATACTGTCGCCTTTGAGCAGACACCGAGGCCTATTTAAGGGCGTGCCTGTGTGGACGCCCATCAACCGTCCAGCAGATACTCACCTTTCGAGAGAAAGATACTTGCAGCGGTTTCAACCTCTGGAAGAGGAACTTTCATTGAGGTCTACCATCGTGCGGATTGGCTGCATTATTCATGCTTTCTTGTATTCACCACCTACAAAGGATGGTGACAATTGCCAGATTTGCGGGTTTGCCCTGGGTTGGAAAAGAGGGTGGGTGAACATCGGTGCAACGTCATCAAACCTGCATGTGCTGGCCCGGCCCGGCGCCAAGGTCTTGCTTGCGTGGTTTCTTCGCACAGGGCTGGTGCCTGGGCTCTTCAGGAGCCATGGCATGCCGAGTGACGTCGAAGGCGTCGGGCGTGGTGAACGCCCCGGTGCTGGTGACACCCTCCGGTGTGCCCAAAGAGCAGTTGCAGGAGGAGGACAGCGGTAGTTAGCAGGTGGTTGATTAAAGGCAGAAAGGCAGCTGGTTGAAGCGAGCGAGCATTTGTCACGCGGACCTGCAGTGTGCTATGCAACTTGCTTCCTTTGCCAGAAGTGACAGAAGACCAATCACTGAGATTGCATCTACAATCAAGATCTTTCAAGATGATCGACAAAAGTCTTGGCACTATGAATCAAGTGGAACTGAGACTGAGACACCCCTTTCTACCCGATCACGCATCGCGAAACCGCCGCACATGGATTGTTCTGGTCCTGTGAAATAAATGATACAACTCAATCAGCACGCCTGCAAGTACAGTAAGATACAATAAGTACAACTTCAGCTCCTTCCTTCTGTGTCAACACTGCTTGCTTCCACCTTTGCAGCAGCCCTTTTGAGAAGCCTCACAGAACTTCTCCGAAAATCAGCCAATTGAAGCCTGTCCATCGGAGTCTCTTCGAGGACCTCTTCCTGCTGGCTGCCGGCTCGGGCGAGCTGCTCAAGCTGCCGACGAAGTCGGCACCGAAGGCCGCGAGGCTGACGGTGTCCCGGGCCGCGAAGGTCTCAGACAGCGCGGCGGTGTTCCAAGCGGTCTTCGAGCGGAGGAGCCGGCACATCCGTGCGGGATGGTACCGGGATGATGTGTGGGATGGTAGAGGAGGTGGGGTTGGAGTTAGTGGATGGTGATGGCATCTTTTGGACGCGTCGAGAGAGTTTTAGACGAAAAAAAACGAAGAGAAAGCTCCAAGACCTCCGTTGTGACTGTGCGACGTCGTTTATGGTGCCAAGTCTCATCCCGTGCCAGTCGTTGGCCAATCCTTTTGGAGGAGTGACGTGACAGCTATTTGCCACATTCACTCAGTGCCTGCCATCGTCGCAGCGGAGAACAAGGAGGTGCTGGGAGGAGATCCTGCCCCCCATCCACGGACACACGCAAGTGTTTCAGGTTCGATTAGCCCTGCCTGTTGGGAGCGCAAGGGGTCTTGCTTTAGCGCTTCGTTAGGTTGATCTGCTTTCGGTCGATCAAGGCAACTCCAAAAGCCTCATGGGATGGTCAACTTGCTGATTTGAGAGAGGTTCGGAACGGAGACTTCGTCCGAGGTGCTGCGAATCCGCGACTCCGAAATGATCAAAGGTGCGACGACCGAAGCGCGACGGAGAGCGAGGGTCGGTTTGGGGGACGTGAAGAACGGGAGGGACGGGGACATGGCCCAAACGCCGTCGGTTTGGGATCGCCATCGCGTGTGGCCGATCTAAGATCTTCAGCAGGAAGGAAGGAAGATGTTGGAACACGAAGCGAAGACCGTTCCCACTTCCGATCTAAGATCTTCACGAAGAGATTGGACCGGAGTGCAGCTCGCTTGAGACCGGGTCTCATGGGATGGGCTTTCACGAGGCTTGGGCGTGTCCGGAGACGGAGTGCTGGTGGTGCCCATCATCGACAACAAGGCACTAGTTCCATGCGTAGCATTCTTGGGTCAAAGGACGCACTTCGATGAAAAATCATTCGATTTCCATCCCTTTCACCAAAGAGTGCAAAGGACTTTGTTCCCTTTCGCTGAATTAGAGGTTTTGGCCAAGTGAGGTCTTGCAACAGCCATGGCCATCGCGCATGAAGCACCACATTTCGCAGCGAGGCCACTGAACCGGACCTGGTGCCCGACCTGATTCGAGCACTGCAGAGGTACCCCTCTTGTCCAGCGGTGCTGGTGCGCGAGACTCGACTTGGAAGCTGACTCGTTGACGGGGAAGACGGTCGCTCCGACCGAGAGGGCGAGGTTTAAACATGCCACGGGGATCATGGGAGGTTCGGTGACTGGCAATGGGATGTTCGGTGGCACCGAAGCGGTGGCGCTGAGGATCATGGAGCTTATGTCTTTGGCAGCTCTGCAGAGCAACTCGGTGGCGGAATGGTCTGAGCTGTCGGTCACACAGGTGGAGCTGAGGGTTGAGATAGGAGAACCAGATGTAGGTGTGTATTGAAGTAGGGAGACTTCCCAAAGGTCCCCCTGAGATAGACACCCATGTGGGATGAGGTAGGGCTACTGAGCCACCCTTGCCAGGAAGGCCAAGATCGCCACGGAGTGTTTGGGCTTTCTCTTGGACCTTGAGATCCGGAGGACAGGGATGTTCAGCTGATCTGAGGTGTTTGGAAGTTCCAGAAAACACGAACAAGATCGAGCAAGTGTTTTCTTCAGCCTTCTCCACATATATCTGAATCTCTAGGAGCGGCGGTGAACCATGCAATCACAGATTTCCCTGTCGAATTCGCTCGGAGTTGCCAGTTGGGTCTTAACGTCTCGGTTTTCGTGCGATTGGCTGCCCAGGAGCCGGGAGGAAGTTGTGGAGGTGCGGGAACCGGGGGTGTTCTGGAAGCCATGGGGTTCTTACAAGCTCCGGATCTCAGATTTCGTTTTTTTTTTCTCAAAACCTCTAGCATCTTCCACAAGCTGGGAGGAACCAGGCGGTCTGGTCAGCGTCACTGTCGTTTTTCACTCAGGCGCCACGGAAGCGGCTTCGACGAGGCCCTGCGGTGGTGCTTCTGGACGTGGAGGGCACCACGACGCCGATCTCTTTTGTGAAGGCCCGTGGTGGCGCTAACGTCGGAGCCCGGGCGGCGGTGGGGCCCCGGCCGGGATTGGGTGTGTGTATGTGCGTGTTGAAACACGGTCCACCCGTGGAAAGGTCCCCCACCTTCCGATGGGGGGTGGTCAAGGTCTGGGAACGTCGCTCTAACTTCAGAGACTGCGGGGTTGGGGAGTTGGGACTGAGCGCTGAGGAGAAGCTCTTCCCGTATGCGGCCACTGCAGTTGACTCCTGGATCCAAACTGCAAACCTAGCAGATGTGGCCAAAGAGTTTGAGAAGCAGTGCAAGGAGGACTTTTGCCCGGCTAAATGTGGCCGTCAGAATGTCTCGAATCATTGGTGCACTCGAAAGCCTGATGCAAAGGGAAGGAGTTGCTTCAAAGGAAAGCAGATCGAGCTGGAAGTTTTTGTTCGAAACTATTTTCTGTCCTTCACGGACACCGCGAGGGACAAGAGGGAAAGCTTTCCCGAGTGGTGCGAAGATTCGTAAACTCCAGAATCAGGTCTTGGAGGTGTTGACCTGAATCTTTTGATGTCTTTGACAGGACCAGGTGCCTTTCATTTGGTCAAAGGAAGAGGTTCTGCGGCTGACCAAGGCTTGTAGAAGCGAATGAGAGAGAGAGATGCTTATATCATCTTATATTATTATGTATCAACATATGAAGGGAATGCCCATCACAAAGACGTTAGAAGAGAGATGGCAGAGGGCATGCAGCATCTCTCAAGGACCTGAACAGCTCGACTTCCTTGTTCATTGCACCACAAACGACCACGAGAGATGACTGTCAGGAGTGGATTGCCAAAGACCGGAAGGTTCCAGCCTTGAAAGATTTGCAGGAGACCGGCGCAGACCAGTCTTGTTTGTTTCAGATGCATTTGCGCAGGTGGTCTGTTTCACAGAACTCAATTGAATTGCGTAGGGTTTCAATCAAGATCAAACATACCTCATGGCTGGTGCTGGGAGTATCTCCCAACGTTGCAGGGCAAGCTGTGGAAAGCCGGCTACGAGAAAGGGGAGCTCAAGGGCGAGATGTTCGAGGATCAGAGTGGTCAAATGGGTTCAGAGGTGGACGGAGGTGCAAAGATTCCATGCTGTCGGAGAAATGGACCACCTTGCTCTTTTCAGGGTTCTTCCACTCTTCCGTGGGGGTAGAGCAGCTCGCATGCAACCCCGAAGGATTGACCACATCTCGAGTGTAGAGTTGATTCATTCGACCCAAAGACCGAACCGAAGAAGGGTCACGCCCGCGCCCACGCCCGCGCCCACGCCCGCGCCCACGCCCGCGCCCAGGACACCCCCGAGGCCATGGCTGCCTGGGTGGCCGCCGGGAAGCGCGTGGCCATCTTCTCCAGCGGCAGTCGCGAGGCGGACGGACGTCGACGGACCATCCTCCGGACGCGACGGCCATCGGAGACACATGTCCGGGTCGGCGTTCAGAGGAGAAAGAAACTAAAAACCACTTGATGCCGGAAAGAGCGAAGAAGCCGTGCGGTTGCAACAAGGGCTTGTTTGGCAGATGAAGAGAAGGGAATGGTCATGGTGTTTTTGGTGTTTTTTTGCAGGCCCAACGACTCATCTATCAGTACTCAGACAAGGGAGACTTGACAAGCTACCTGTCGGCGTACTTCGATCCCAAGTCAGCACAGGTGGGAGATCTTGGCGCTCTGATTCTGCTTGTGAATGAATACAAATAAAAAGCACTCCTCTTACCGCCAGCTTGGCTTCCAAGTCTTCGAACAGGTCTTCTCCAGATATTCTCCACTGTCAGCTTTCACCATCCAGTATGATTGACCCTCATGTTTCTCAGTCACTTCACTCATGTGTTCATGCTCAGCCTTCGAAGACCGGAGGCCTCAAAGCAAGAGGCCAAGGCCTATGAGGAGATCGCTTTATCCATGGGCATCAATCCTAGCGAAGGTCTGGCGGGATGCTTTCAAAGCCGAGAGTCCAAGAGTTCAAAACAACCTCCACTCTTTATCTTTCATCACTGGGCAAAGAAAGACCGAAGCTATCATAAATGAAGGGATCTGAAGGGAGGTCGATCATGTTCGCCCTTTGCAAGGCATCCAGTGTTTTCTTTTGCTCATCTTGGCTTCCCTTTGTCGAGCGCGTGAGGCCTCTTCTGCACTGACGTGCTGGGCGAAGCCCAAGCTGCCCGAAAGGTGGGAATCTACGGGAATCTACGGGAATCTACTAGTCTACATCAGACACTCCAAGGACTCCGACTTTTTCAGTCGTCCCGAAGTGTTTCTCGTGTTTTTTTTGCAAAATCAAATACTTTTGAGGTGACGCTCTGTGATGGTCCGTGGACGTCCATTTGATGGGGTGGTGGCTGTGGTGGTGGCAAAACGAGAACCCCCCCAAACTGATTTTCCTGCAGGCGGGCTGGCAAGCAGTATTGCTGAAGCGACCTGGCAATGCCCCGCTGCCTGAGAGCCACGGTTTCCGTGAAGCCACAAGCTTGTTAGATGTGTGAGCAGGGCCAGGCGGGTCTTGGTCTGTGAGACTCAGCGGTGGGTCGGAGGATTTCCCTGACCGAGCTGCTTCGCTTTGTGTGGTGGTTGATCGAGGGGTCTTTCAAATTGTTAGACTGTCGATCAAGTGCCACATAAGGCTGCAAGCCCCTTTTTCCGCTTTTGGAATCCTGACATGTTTGAAGCAGACATCAAAAAAGACACCTCCAATGGCCCCCAGTTGCGGGGTCGGAGTGCCAGAAGTGCTGGAAGGAATGAATCATGAATCACGAGATGCTGGATGCTCCTTTGCAACTGGGTCTGTCATTTTCTAGAGATTCTACCTCTTGCCACTCATCCTTTAGACGCCAACTCTCGAAATATTGACCAGCAAAGCATCCAACGGTCCACCCACGGGGGATGTTGGATGTACATTCCCTGTTTGGTGTTCGGACTTCGATCATCCAGTCAAAAGGGCATACCGGCATACCACTTCCATGATCACTATTTCAATTTATGTCATCAGCATCCACGTGGGTGCCTAGGTCGAGCCTTCTCCATTCAGCAGGGGCCTAGTTTGCATCTCCCAACCTGGACCAGCCTGTGCATGTATGCCGGTTCATCCAGTCCTTTGGCTCGAACATTCATGCGTCCTTCAGTGATTCAGCACTCTCTTCTCTTGAAGCTAAGCCCCCAAATCCATCCGTACATTGCCAAGAAATAAGTTTGGACACTTCAGACCCAAGCCTAATCCCAACACAGCCAAACGAGCCAACGTTCTCTTCAGAGCGGGAGATCCGAGCCGGTCTTCGAGGCTTCACCGCTCACGTCGCGTCGTGTCGTTCACGTCGCGTCGCCCCGAGGGCGTCGCCCTCACGTCGTTCCGTTCATTCGCGAGGCTAAAGCGCCTCGTTTGAGAACGAGCTCTTGCGGAAAGGTGCGGGGACGCGGCGCGTGGGTGTGGCCGTTGGGCACTTCTTGCTCGTCACATGACTCACTGCGAAAGATTCAAAAGCATCCTGAATTGGAGGCGTTTGGGCCAACCGTTACTCGTTACTCGTTGACTCTAGAAACTTCAGCAATATGTCACAGTGCAATATGTGCGGTGCGATGTGTGGCCAGTCGACCGGTTGATCCTGGTCCAAGATGGAGGCAGGGCCCGGGGCCGTTCTCAGTCTTTAGGATGGATTCTGGATGCATGTATTATGGGCAGGTTTTTTCGATGATGCCATGCTCTCACAGGATCAAGCTGAGAGAGATGGATCTTGAGGCATTCTTTTGGGTACTGCGTGTTCGAACACTCGAACATCCTATTTCATGGTGATCGTCCGGTGGACCTGAGAGCCTCCAACACAGAAGAAAACACCTTCAAGACAGAAAACGACCTGGTCCACGGTTTGGGAAACGACTTCAACACGAAGTCTTTTGGGCGGAGACAGAGCTCCGATTTGGTTTGATCGCCATGGATTTCGCTTGATGGATTGCCCATGGAGAGCGACTTGAAGCTGCAACATCTGAAGCGACTCCGCGAGCAAGAGGCGCCGTCGGTGAGTCGGTGAGTCGGTTTGATGGAATTTTCATGACTGGTGTTGATGGAATTGCAAGGCATCCCATCCCGGAATGGCATGGGAATTGCTTGGCATCGATGTGTTGCTTGAAATATGGTTCCGTGTGGATGTTCAGGCTGGTCGCGAAGTCTTCGTGAGGCCGTTGCCGTTGGAAGCAACTGCCAGAGACTGAGACTTGCGGGTGAGTTGACTAGCTTGTTTCAGTCCGGGCAACGGATGTGATTCTTTCCAGTTTGAGAGCAGTCCAGTTGTGGAAAGTGTCGTCCTCACCTTCTGGCACTTCTGTTCTCTTTCGATGCACAACAGGCCAGAACAGTTGTGTTCAGGTTGATGACGTGAGACAGATGGTGGCCAGCAAATGCGGGGAGGTTTGCGGGATGTGTCCAAACACCGCTTTGGAATGCGAGAGCATCGAGAAAACTGAGGTTGCAGATTAGGATTCGTTGCAAAGCATAGTTCGATGTTGCTGTTGGCGTCGATTTCGGTCTCAGAGAGACTAGAGGCAGTGAGTAGCAGCTACTGTGAGCGACAAACCTCTGTCGAGCAATTCAGGAGTCAGTTGCAATTGACCGTGTGAAGCTGCTGAAGAATCCTGGCAGGGCTTAGTTTTGGGGCTCAGGGGAAGCAAACCGCACATGATATCATATACGAGACTGCTGCATCAGTGATCAAAGCTGCAGGCAGGAGATGTTGGAGAGATGTTTTTGAAAGCCTTCAGTTCATAGAACGGTCGCAAGGACTGGCGGTGGCACACTCCTAAGTGCCTTCGTCACGCTCAGCTCAGAAGAAGAGGCGCCGGGATTTCCGCCGTTGGCGCCTTCTTCCCGCGCTTGACCGCTGTCTTTCTTTTTGGTTTCGAGTTTTCTGCTTTCGAAGCAGAGCCGTCGCCGCTGTCGCTGGTTTCCGTCCGTCGCCAGGCGCGGCACTGCACCGCGCGGCTGAATGGCGCCCGCTACGCTGGACAGGTCCTGGCCGCCAGCGTCGCGCGGAATCGCGAAGGATCCCAAGGGCCGCGGAAGGCGAAGGACGGAGACGGTGGCACCGGTGGGAGGAACCGAGCTGTTGGGGTTGGTGAGAGCTCTACGGCACCGGTGGGAGGCTTTTAGAGGAGGCTTTAAGGCCTGGACTTTAGGTCTGGACAGCTCAGATTTCCTTGAGGGGTCAGATCAAGTCTGCAAAGGGCAGTGGATTTAAATTTAATTGATTTATATGGAGAGCAGGCCTTTTCTGGTGTCCCTTAAGGCCTTAAGGCTTGAAGGTGTTAGGGTATCAGCGTTTGACAACACCTGACATATCCTGACATGGTCCAGTCGTGTAGGAGCTGTGCATGTTCTTTTTGGAGGGCAAGTGCTCCAGAGGCTGGTGACAGTTTGAAATGTCCCGCGGAGCTGGCATATAGCCTTGGCACCGACGGCCTTAAGTCTTAAGTGTTTGAATCCTATGATAGCACATGGGGTTGTAGGAGGTGGCTGAGTCCAAACAAGCGTTCTTGCAAGATCTGCCTACTAGCACGGACAAGAAAGGGTCCTTGGAGGTGAGGCCTGCCAATTTGCACATGAGAAGAGCGCGGTGGGTGGCCGGCGCCTACCGCCCTGCCGCTTCTTTGCTGCAGGAGAGATGGGACTAGTTCAGTTTGTTCAACTGGTGCTTTTCAGTTGGGGTTGTCGGTGGTACTGATGTAGTTGTCGGTGCTGTAGATGTTGTGGTCGTTGTCATTGGTATTTCCATTGTCGTCGTTGTTGCCGTTGTCGTCATCATGGTGGTGGTGGTGTTGCTGGTGGTCCATGCCAGCGTGGTTGTCTTTTCTTGCTACTGTTATCTTCCTTGTTCTTGTGCTTTGATTTTCAGTCGATTGCAACATTGAGATCGGACTGAGTGTAAGCAGGGCAAAGGTATTTGTCAGGCCTCCAGCCTTGGATGTAGCTGCTTAGCTACTTCGCTAGCAGCCTTTCCAGCATTTGGCGTCAAATTTAAATCTTAAATCGAGCACCCCATTTGCTCTTCAGATCTCACCTTACCAGGAGACTGCTCTCGTGGCAAGGACTGCAAGTTCTCGCACGAGAAGCAAGAAAGGCTGGTTGCATAGTCAGAACCTTTGTTTGGTGAATGTTCGGAAGAAACACTTTGGCCACTTTGGTTTATGTAGCAGTTGTTTGTTCTGAAGAAGTGCAATTCTTCTGAGACCTCTCATCTCAGCGGCAGGCCAGAAGAGCAAGAACTGGAAGAGGCCCAACATTCAAACACATTCAAACCTTCCACGTCTATGTGGAAGGGGATTGCAGTTTTGACTTGATCAGTCGAGGGCCAGATGAAGTTTCAGATTGCCTGTTTCCTTTCAGTGCAAAGAAGGAGGTTTTCGATTCATTGTCAAAGCACATTGGAGGCTTGCAAAGACACCACATTAAGTTCACAGAGAGAGAGAGAGAGAGAGTGAGTAAAAGGCAAAGACGTCCAGCCAATCATGTACATCTTCCACATTTAGTAGTGTTTATACCATAGCTACACAGCATAGCTACATGGATATCTCATGGCCTCTGCTTCTGCTGGTGTGCTCTGCAGCGGCGGATGGCCCACCCGCATCGGGCGACTGTGAGCCAGGGTGGACGCAACTGGAGAACAGCTGCTTCCGCATCACCCAAGGTGTCCTGATGAATTTATTGAGGTGAGGGGGAAGTTGGTTGAAGAAGAGAAAGAACATGAAAGAACAGCAGCCTAGCACGGCAGAATGCCAGCAGGTCATGTCCATTTGTTTAGCACTGGATGACCTGGGTCTAAGATGCTTGGAGCTTCGACGAGAGTGCAGCAGCCTGCAGCAGCTTGCATCCGAGTGCCACTGTTGCAACCTTAAGGAGCCAGGCGACTCGGTGTTGAGACTCATTTGGCGTTTCTAATTAGAATAGAGAGAGAGAGAGAGAGGGAGAGGGAGAGGGAGAGGAGAGGAGAGGAGCACTGGGCTTGGTTCTCTGCTGGCTTGCAAGACAACTCTCTTGATCAGGGGCAGAGCAGGGCGGCTGCTGATCTCCTATCATCTACTTCCTGGATTGGCTGGGTGGTTTCTGGCCTTGAACATGGACACCGGAATCAGTGCTGAACTGATCGGAATCGGCGTTGTGAACTTTCGTGTGAGGTTGAGGGTACTGGATCCTGGGCTGATGGTTCTGGATGCAGCTATCAGGAACAGTATGCGCAAACCTTCCTGTCGGACCGATGGTGTACTAGGCTCGATCATGTCCAAGTGAGCTGGGGTTGGCACAAAAGTGCCGAATGTTCCTGTGCTCATTGGAGGTTGCTCAGCCCAGCAGAGCCTAATCATCCTGGCTGGGTACAGACAGAGTGTGAGATGAGCTCTCCTGCGCTTTGCAGCTACCCTCTGAGCATTGCCTCTCGATGTTGTGTGAGGCACCGGGAAGCGAACCGACTCGGGGCCGGGCCTTTCCACCGGGAAGCGAACCGACGCCCCGCTGCGGACCGGAGGTACGAGACGTCCGAGGGCTATTGTGAGCCGAACCACTTCGGAGCCAGCCTCTGCTCTGTGTCCTCCTCGAAGGAACCTGAGGAGCCGTGGCAAGGTTAGATTTCTGGAATGTGACTACACTCTCTACTTCTCTCTACTTAGTTTGGGGGTGATCAATGTGCCACACACTGAAGGGAAGTCGACCATGGCGAAATCGCTTCACCATTCGCTTCGTCTTGCATCATCTAGTCGACCATGGGGTGTTTTTCATCATCGCCAGCTGCACCATTTTCGTGATGAACGTCGGCTGAAGCACCCTGGAAACAGGTTTCTTCGACCTGTTCCGGCGCCTTTGCTCCCTCAGACTTGCCCATCTACGGCGATTGGAGTCGTGCCTTTGGCGGGAGTCGGAGATCGATATGGTGTTTCCTCTTCCTTCTTTTCGTTTCCATGACGTTTTGCGGGCGTTTTCGGGGATGGCAGCGAGAAATCGATGGGACGAGACTCCCAAGTCGTGGGTCAAAGGACCGGAACCTTGGACCAGCTTTGTCCGTCTCCTAAAGCAGGCGAGACGGGCTTTGCCTACTTCCACCCTGACAACTGCGATGAGGCTGTCAGATTTCCGCTGCATGAGATGAAGCTGTCAGATGATGCCCGTGCCGTTTTGGGGGTGCAAAAAAACATATCATTTCCATCAGACCCAGACGGGACGTCCAGCCAGGCATGCACTCAAGCCCGCTGCAACAATGACAGTAGCTGCCAGGAGCCTTGCAAGACATGGCGGCATTGTGCGTAGAGAAGACGACATTGCATTGAAGCCAGTATTGAAATTCCACTGGTCATTTTGCTGATCGAACATTAACCATCATTGACCATGACTTGTAGGAGGATCATCAACCACACCCCGCAAATTGGAAAAGATAACATGAATAAGAGAAGAGGAATCAGACGGGTGAATCGATGGCTTTTCTCGTCTTTGAGGGATATACCTGGGCCACTGGTGCCTTTGATGGCCGTGGCGCGGGCTCCTTAAAGAACAGCATCACGGGCTTCAATTCCTGGGGAGGACCGATTTTCTTCGACGTGTCTCGATGTGGCGCACGAGGCAGACCTCGACCTCGGTTCTTCACTAAGAAAGGGTTTCACCAGATGGTCTCCTCGACCTGGTTCTGCTCGCCAGGATATCTTTGCAAAGTCAAAGTATCGACTTGTGAGGCTGGATGGGGGCACTTGCTACGTAAAGATGTGGTCAACTTGTGCAGTTGTTTCTGACCGCTTTGAGGTTCTTTCAGGTACCCCACTTACTCCCTCGGCTCAGTTTCCAACATGCTCATCCATTTCGTCTTGTCCACTCGTTGTAGCTGGGGGACACGTACCAATGTGGATCAGGCGACAGGAGAAGAAACCACCGCTGCGGCCAGCTCCAACGTGGACAGTGCCAGCAAGGCTGAGGAGGCTGTGCAATGCTGCGTATGTGACAGGGCTTCTTTTGGCGCAGTGTCTGACTGGACAACAAACCATTTGAGCCGAGCTTGTTTGGGACATGACATGACCGCCTCACCTCTCAAAAGAATCGCTCCATTGACTTATTTAGACCGTTCACGTTCACTTGTTTTTCCCCAGATAGCGAAGCTATGGGGTTCTTACTTCAAATAACAATGAGTTGCCCGTGCGCGCTTTCGAGACAGGTTGCTGGTGCTGGGTGCCGGTGCTGGTGCTGTGAGCTGGCTGCACGTGGTGGAGACATGTTGCTGGTGACGGTGCTGGTGCTGTAGCGAAGCTATGGGGATATTACTTCAAATAACAATGAGTTGCCCGTGCGTGCTTTCAAGACAGGTTGCTGGTGCCGGTGCCGGGTGCTTGTGCTGGTGCTGTGAGCTGAGACAGGTTGCTGGTGCTGGTGCCGGGTGCCGGTGCTGGTGCTGGGTGGGTGCCGGTGCTGGTGCTGGTGCTGGTGCTAGTGCTGTGAGCTGGCTGTGCAAGTGGCGGTGCTGGCGCTGGTGCTGTGAGCTGGCTGCGCGCGTAGTAGAGTCAGAGTGCCGGTGCTGGGTGCTGGATGCTGGGTGCCGGGTGCCAGTGCTGGGTGCTGGTGCTGGTGTTGTGAGCTGGCTGCGGTGCTGGGTGCTGGCTGTGTGTGCTTGGCGCGTTGCAGAGACAGGGTGCTGGTGCCGGTGAGTCAGGGTGCCGCTACTTCCAGGGAAGCTGAGGGAATCAGCAATCAGAACATCGTTGTATATCCAGTGTCTTCTCGAGATTCTTCTGTTCTTACGCGTGACCTTTGGGTCCTTACAAGTTGTGTAGCTTGCATATGTGAGGGGGTCTATTTTCGGATTTTTCACCAGATAGCGAAGCTATGGGGTTCTTACTTCAAATAACAATGAGCTGCCTGTGCGCGCTTTCGAGACAGGTTGCCGGTGCTGGGTGCCGGGTGCCGGTGTTGGTGCTGTGAGCTGGCTGCGCACGTGGTGGAGACTGGGTGCCGGTGCTGGGTGCTGTGAGCTGGCGTGCCGGTGCTGTGGTGGAGATTGGGTGCCGGTGCCGGGTGCTGGTGCTGGCTGTGTGCGTAGTGGAGACACGCCACGCTGTACTGCGGCGTTTTTTCCTGTGTAAAACAGGTTCCTGCCAATGCAGTCCAGAAAAATCTGTTCTTGCTATCTGGGGTTATGTCGGGCACGCCAGCCATAGATTCAAGGAGCCAAAATAGTTTTTTAAAGCAACAAAACAAAAAAACAAAAGGCAAAGCAAACAAAAAACAAAAACATGTAGCTGTGCATATTTGTCGGTGTTTTTTTTCACTTTTGTTCGCTTTATTTTCGCATTTTTTCGCTTTATTTTTTTTTGTTTTTTTTTTTTCGTTTTTTTTCCTAGGAGGGTACAGTTCTTTATTTTTTTTTCGCTTTTGTTTTTGCTGTACCCTCCTAGGAAAAAAACGAAAACCATGAAAAAAACCGAACAAAACGTGAAAAAAAAACAAATACACACAGCTACGTTTTTTGTTTTTTTTTTGTTTTTTTGCCTATTATTGCGCTTTGTTTTTGCGTTGTTATTAGTTTTTTTTGTTTTGTTTTTGTTTTTTGTTTTTTGGCATTTTCATTTGCCTTTATTTTGTGTTTTTTCACTTTTTTTCACAAAACACTATTTGATGGTTGGCCATGTATGGCTGCCATCGCCCAACATAAATCTGGGGTCTATGCTGGTGTTATTTGTTTTTACGCTAGGTGCAAAGCTCGGAATGGCTCTCAAGTGGCGGTTTTTCAGACTTCGCAAGTGGCACGCTCGTTTTCACGAAAGCTAGCCTTAGCTAGCTGGAGTTGCTCTTGCTTTAGCAAGTTAAGTGACGGGGTGGACGCACCTCAGAAACCTCAAATAATTGATTAAATCAATCTTATGGACCCCCCCCCCCGCGGTTCGACTCCCCCCTGAGCCAGGGGACCGGGACCACCAAGCAGCTGCAGCACACCAAGCATCTGCAGCGCCCAGCGCAGCAGCGGCAGCAGCAGCATACCCAACGCCGCGGCAGCAGCAGCCGCAGCAGACCACCCAGCGCCAGCAGCAGCAGCAGCAGCAGACGACCCGGCGCCTGCAGAGCACCCAGCGCAGCAGCGCCCAGCGCAGCAGCGGCAGCAGCAGCACCAGCAGCAGCAGCACCAGCAGCAGACCACCGGAAGCCCGGCTAGCTTTCGTTCACCCCCTCTGGCCTCAAGTTGTTTCTCTCCCTTCTTCCGCGAGGTCGCCTTGGCCATACTGCTTGGAGGCGAGAATGTCTTCTTGCACTGATGAGGCTTAAGGGGCTTCTGGTATGCCCAAGTGTTGAGCTTTTGAATGGTGTCGAGCGCACGGCGATTGCAAGGGTTTCTAGGATGATTTTTGCAGCCAAAGGTCTGTTTGAAAAAGATGTTCAGAGGATGGCTGTGCTTCCGTGAGGCCTCATGACCTTCTGACGGTACCGAAATGGGCTCCCCCAAATGGGGGCGGCTCACTCCGAGAAAAATGAGTGAAAACGACCCGGGCGGGAGAGAGGGGAGAGAGAGAGAGAGAGATGCTTGTGAAGATTTGGGATTGTAGTGGAATGGATCTATCTTTGATGGCAGCTATAGCACCAGATGCTATTCTTTTCATATCTTTTCGAGCCGGGCTTGAGAGGCTGAGGAGGTGGATCACGTGAAAGAAAAGCCTTCGAAATCGACGAAAGAGAAGCAGCTGGAAACAGACGAGATTGAACACCCGAAAAGCAAGAAGGTTTGGGCCAAGAGAGCCAGCGGAATGACCGGAGAAAGCGCTGAGAATTCTGAGCTTGAGCCGCAAAAGAAGAAAAGAAAAGCACTTGCTTCAGCAGAGGCAGTACCTGATGAGGTCAAGATTCTCAAGACAGAAAAGAAAAAGAAGAAGATCACGACGGCAGAGACAATAGCTGAGGAGGTCACGATTCCTCAGACAGGAAAGAAAAAGAAGAACCCAATGGCTTCTGCAGCAATAGCTGAGGAAGTCAAGATTCGTCAGACAGAAAAGAAAGAAAAGAAGAAGAACACAATGGCTTCTGCAGAGGCGATACCTGAAGAGGTCAAGATTCGGAGGGCAGAACACAAAAAGAAGAAAAGCACAACGGCAGAGGCAGCCGAGGAGGTCAATATTCCTGAGACAGAAAAGAAAAAGAAGGGGACGAAGACACGGGCTCCCGCAGGGGCAGTGGTTGAGAAGGTTGACACTACGACCGACAAGAGAAAGAAGAAGGCATCGGCTTTGGCAGAGGCAGTTTTGAAGGAGACTCCTCAGACCAAAAGGAATAAGAAGACACAAAAGACGGCAAGTCACACCGAGGGGGCCCTGATCCAGAAGGTCCAAGTTGAGAAGTCTGCGAGCTCGCCACGACTGGTCGTCTCCCAGGACTGAAGCGGAATTTGCTGCACAACGAAAACAACACATTAGGCACTTTGACTCATTTTCTTTACTTGCTGCACCTTCGAATTCTGGTATTAGTTACTTCAAATGAAACTAGATACTCTGCAGCAAAGTTTTGGGACCGAGCCTCAGGCCAGAAAGAAGGCCAGAAAGAAGATATAGCGGAATGAGAAGAACAAGTAGCGGATGTCCGAAGCGTCGTTCGAGGAGGAGAAGAGGTCTGGTGACGATCCGGTGCGTTCGACCGGTCACATCCGTCGTGGGTGCGTTCGACCGCCACGTGCGTTCGACCGCCGCGCTGGAGCGATCAAGCGGACGATGGCTCGTGCAACTAGAGCGGAGACCCACGCGCCAGCGACGTGCCAAAACAGAGCGACCGAAGAAAGGGCGCGCACCTGGAGATTGACTGGACGTTTGTGTGGTTGGTGGCATGGATGAACGTTGGAAGCGCGTTTCTGGTTTTTGGTGGGGAGGAGCTGTCCTCAGCAGACAGGGAAAACGGCATTGAACTATTGAGATCCTATTAGCTGGCTCCAATAGAGACCTCCCAGGTGCCAGGCGTAGTGTTCAACGACCCTTTTGGGGGGAAACGGAGATTTGGCCCCGTCTACCCCGAGGCCAGGGAGACCCCTGACGAACCCGTCGACACCGCCGAACTCGCGAACTCGCTGAGGATCGACCCGTCGCATCCGAACGTGGCCGGTGAGAGTGCTCAGTGGGTGGAGAAAGACTGGAACACAGGCAGCAAATCATTGCATAGTGTCAGATAAAGCTCACGGTCCAGAGTCAACTTCCCAACTTGCTACAGAGGTTGTGAAGTGTGCTTGTATTTTTCACCGGTGGCTTGAGATTGTAAAGCTCTGGAAAATGTGTCAACCCTGTGAAATAGCTGCTGGGTCGTGTCATGACGGTTATTCCCTTGTTGGGACCACGTCTACAGCGGCAAAAGGATTCCGGTGCTGCTCAACATCTACGATGCGTTGCCTGCATGCTTGAGCTCTTGTGCACCTATTTGCCAATGCCAATAAAGAGAATCACCATCCATTCAGGCGTTTGAAGATGTTGAAGCAAAGACATGTCTCATTTCGAGTCTGGGCGGTCACAGATTTCCGACGAATCGGTGCTTCCAAAGGATGTGCGCCACGCATTTCTCACACCAACTCCGACCCGGACATCTTTTGGCAGGTTTCGAGACGCGAGGCAGTGAAGATGATGAATGCGGCCATCAGCTTAAATTGGAGAAACCGATTCTTTTTTGCGTTTTCTTTGGTTGCTTTTCACGTGCGGCGTACGGTGTTTCTAACAAGCGCTTCACCGTGTTCCATCATCCAACAAGACTCGCCTTTTCATATCGTGGCGTCAAACATTCAGAACGCTTGCGAGCGAACGAGCGAACTCAGGTGCTCGCCCATTGGCTTGCACCAGTGGCAACCTCAGCCGGCTCTTTCGCCCGTCGCAGCTCAGATGGGACTGTCAAGACGGTTCTTAGATGGGACTGTCAAGAATTCGCTCACGCATGAAGAGTGGTGAATGTGGTCACGGCTACTTAGCTACTTTCCTAGTAGATAGTATGAAGGAATGTGCCTCACGGCAGGCTTGAAGTGGCTTGTAGGTGCTACATCAATCGTTACACCAAGCATCAAAGCAAGAACCCGAAGTGCAAGACCAATCAAAGCCACCAAATCACATAGGGGCTGATCATTGGTGTGTTTTTTCGACATCGATTGGCATCTGCATCACCGGAGTCTCCGGTGCTTCCCATGTCGGCCATGTCCGATGCGGGTGGAGGCGGGGAGTTGGAGATGTAGGAAATCAGGGCCTAAAAGGACCTCAAGATCGAATTCCGAGGGCAAAGAAGCAGTTTCTTTTTTTTACATTTTTCTTTTTGAACCTAATTGTCTAGGCATTGCCGTGGTGCCAAAAGCTCTCATGACGTCAGCAGAGTGATGACTCATCACCATCTCAGCCATGTGGGTAGTAACAAGTGCATCGCTACTAGGAACAAGTGCATCGCCACGAGTAGCAAGAAGTGTATTTGAATAGGCAGAACCCCCTTTCTCACCCGGAAATCTCGCCTGAATAGACTCTTTAGACTGGTCTATTTCCTTAACCCAGGGGGTTCCAGTTCCGCCTGTTTGAGCTGCCCATGTCGCGGCTAAAGAGGAGCCTGGTAGGGACGCCCCGCAAGGTGCCCTCCTCGAGGGACGCTGCGGTGGCCCTGCGGCGTGCGGCGCCAGAGGAGTGTGTGGCACGACTTCGTGCCGCGTGGAGCAAGAAGGGAAGGGCGCCACACGCCCAGGGTGGTTTAGCATGTTTTGCCATAGTGGTTTCTGTTTTGCCATAGTTTGTTCCCCAACAGCGAAGTCACGAAAGCTAGCGAAGCTAGCTGGAGTTACTCTTGCGATAGCAAGGTTTCTTTCGACCGGGTGCCCTCCACTTTCCCATTCTGGAGCGCTAGCTTTCCCCCCCCCCTTGGCCTCAAGTTTTAGGGAGGGGTCAAGACAGCCCACAGGGAGTGGACTTCGGAGCAAGCTCCGGAGCAGGTTCCGGAGGAGGCTCCAATAAAACGGGTTGGAGTTGTGGCACTGCTTGAATGCTGGTAAGATCTGGTAAGTCTGGGTGTTTACCTATAGGCTTTTCCAAAAAGGTTTTGACTGACGGTTTGTGACATAGTTTTTTTAAAGAACGCACAACATGCTATCTTTTGAATACTCGAGCTTGCTGCCAATCACGGAAGCCCACCAGTCCTTGTGGCCTCATGAGACGTGAGCAAAACGACAGAGACAGCCTTTCTTGATTTTCAGAATCCAGGAGAACAATTGAAATCCGTCCACAGCCAAGGAGTTGCGAGGGCAGAGTTTGGAGTTGAATGTCTTCCATGCAGCCAGTGTGCTGACTGCCTGCAGGGGCCAATGGCGCTGGGCACTAGAAGTGTTGGGAGAGTTGGAAGGCAGGTCAGCGTAGGTGCTGAAACTGATGTGTTAGGGACGAATTCTGTTTTGCTTTTCAGGAAGTTGGAACAAGCTGGATGGAGTTGTATTCTATGATCTCGTAGGATCTAAATCTAAATTGCAGTGCCGAGCAATCCATGGACGCATCTAACGCCTTCGAGACTCAAATTGTTGCCTCAGAATCAATGATTGAGTAGAGCTAAATACAAAGATGGTAGCATGGCATGAATTTGCAGTTTTGAATGCACATGTTTTCATACTGAACAGCAGGCGCGTCAAAACTGCTGGATTCCACAGGTGAAAGCCCAATCGTCCCCAATTCCAGAGATGTTAGGCTTTGGGTATGGCCGTCGATCAATCATTCTAAGATTCTCACGATTTTTTTGGGAACAGCGTTGACCAACCATTGACTGGACTCGGGTCATTGACCCAAGATCCACTCGATACTTTTTGAGACGTCGTGAGGCCTTGCTGTCGAGGGCGACGATGTCAGCAGTAGCGCCGCCGTGGCCTGTTGCCGAGATCACTGGGAGATGGCGTTAGCTCCTTGGACCAGCGCGCAGCTGCCTGCAGCTGCCTAGAGGGGAAGAAGGTGACACATTGAACACCATAGAGCGTGCAACCGATGGAGTATGAAGAAGGTCGGGAAGGTCACCAAACTGCTTCACGTGGTGTGAGCCTCCATCCCAAGGTTTTGAGGTCAAAGAGACCCAAACTTGCAGATCACAATTCAAACACGAGGTTCTGGATTTGCGCTTGGTGGGCATTCAAAGCCTGGCACGTGGACCCTGAGTTGGCCGTAAGAGGTCAAACCTTTTCTTAGATGTTGATGATGCCGACCATCGTGAAGCTGTTTTCCCCACCGTAATTGGGTGAAGACATACGTTATGACGTCGACCCAGATACCCAGCCGGACTTTTGGACGCATTGCAAATTAGCTCAGGCCTTGCTGATGCACTTTCACCGGCAAAACACCTGGAACTTACGAACGCATGGGGCTGTCTTGAGTGCTTGCGCTGCTGCTCAGCGATGGCAGGCCTGGCCAGGTTGTTTTTGTTTCTTGTTTTTCTCGAGAGTTTCTTTGAAGGAAGGCAGGGCTACAGTTTTTCTTTATTTTTGAGTGTTTCTTCCACTTTTGTCGACTTGGAGAGGCAAGTAGAGGCTTCACTGGCCGGGATGGAAGTGGTTTAGAGGCTTCACTTTCGCGCAGGATGCCTGGAGCCTACTGACATGGTTAGAAGATGCTGAGCTCCAAGCCGATGTCGTCAGCTGCTCGGCAGAAGGGTCCAGTGAGACTGCCCATGGTGGTCAGTTTGCCCTTGTAGCCTTTTCCTTTCGTCCAGAAGCTGGACAACTTTGCTTGAAATGGATTATACATGATTGATTATACAACTTTGAGCACAAAAAACGAGACCTTCAAAGACAAGGATAGGCTTTTGAGAAAGATTTGACATCTCATTATTCCAACCCTTTACTGTATGTATGGTTTTGCTAAGCCAGTTGTGCAAAACACAGGTAGACTAATTTGGACTAATTTGATGTTGGCTCAGGTTACGGCACAGCTATCAATGCATGTGACTGGCAGCAGGCGGTTTTCTCCCCACAAAAGGGTGGGCGGGGTTCTTGTTCCGCCCCGGAGCCCGTGAGATGTTGACAGCCACTTGATTCTCTTGCTTTTGGAGGCCCTAAAGCTTTTGGAAGTCATGGAGTCCAAGCGTTGCGAGGCAAATCAGGTGTGCAGCTTGCCTGAAAGAGAACTTGTTGGTAAACTTCGTCAATGGCATTGAGATTTGGACTCAAGGTCTTTGACTATACCGCCAAGAACCAGTCACTGGCTAGTAGTCACCTCCTGTGTCAAGGCAACACACACTGTGGTTTGACCTGTTTCAGACAAGTCCGAGCTGCGTCTGACCGGAGCCGAAGTTCGGACTCAAGGGCCTAAGGGCCTCAAGGGTTTCATTTCACTCCTTTTTCGAGCCCCCAGACATCGAGCCCCGAGCAGCATGGGCTGTAGCAGTAGTCATGCGAGCCATGAGACTGAAGAGACCATCGTGAGATTTCCAAGCGAGCGAGGAGTTTCCAAGGAGGTCTCGGTGTCCATCAAAGAACCCCGATTGAGCTTCCACTCCATGGGGAAGATTCAAACAGATCTGGAAGATGCAGAGCACCTCCCACCAATCCATAGTACGCATGCCACTCACGTGGTGAACCTCGAACTGTTCTTGAAGACGCTCAACGGAGAGGAACTGATCAAGGCAATTCGTGTCAAACGTGTCCTTCATTCCTCCAGGCAAGACGTGACTTGGGGCAGAGACCTTTACTCTCCTGGCACACCGGTGGTGATTTCCGCGTGAGGCCAGCATGTCTGAGGCATAGATGGAAGTGAGCGAGGCAGCCAGCAAGGAACTTTTCCTAGGAATCTATTGATCCTTCTTTTTCGCGGCAGTCATATTTCTTTCCAGGATGCCTGAATCCCTGGTTGCAAGACTGCTGTCAGAGTGATGATTGGCGTCGAGCTGCCGTGCTCGCCCACCATGGGCCTGCTGGCATATTCCTATAGGGGGCAGCACCCAAATTTTTTAAAGCAACTTTTTTCACATGGGGTGCCCTTGCCAATTTTTTGCTCCGCGACCATTTTTTGATGGACATTTCTCGCGCTGGCCCGTCGGGGTTGATCGAACATCTGCAGTGGATCCCAGCTACCACTAGGAACCAGGCTTTCGTTCGGTCTATGGTTTGGTCATCGAAGTGGAACCACTGGGACTCCCAGCTGTAGTGGAAACTGGATTTTTCTGGGTAGAGAGGAAGTGGGAAAATCACCGGAGTGGGTGCAAGGGTTCTTGGAAAGTTCCGATCAACCCCGGTTTAAAGGACGTTTCACCTGGCATGACACTGGTCAAGCTTGATCAGCTGCCCCAAAGACTTTCAAGTCCCACCGCCTCTTGATGGTGCTTCGTTGCTGAGAAGTCAAGGTGCTATAGCCTTTTTTGAGTTTTTCTTGCATTTACAGCTTAGTACCCAGAAGCTACTAGGAGCAAAGGGCATCGCTACTAGGAGCAAGAAGCTACTAGTAACTCCTGGCATTACTACTAGTAACAAGAAGCTACTAGGAGCCTTTTCTTGCATTTACAACTTACCTTGCAAGTCTACGTGAATGTCCCATTCGGACCTTGTTTGTTTGAATGTACCAGCATCCCAGGAGCGTACCAGTCTAGTTGGTGAACATCTGAGTCGACCTGGGTCAATCCCGAGCCACTGGGCCATGTTGGTCATCCGGACGTCAGTTTCTGTGCAATTTTCCGAAGTTGGTGGGTCAGATCCACTTCTGGGGTGACAACGTGGCTTACAGGCTGGCGACTCTCACTGGAAGCCTTGTGTGGTTTGCGTTGGTCAACAGCGCAAAAGCCGCGGGAGCGCGCAACAAGTGTTTAAAGGTGTACTTGCGCCAATCGAGTTTCCTTCTAAGTAAGAGC